CTTCAATTCCACTGACCCAGCCGCCTTGCCGTTTGCGTCCATTTTTCCTGGAAATTGAGTTAACTGAAAACCAATGTCAGAGTGTGTGTGCGTGTGTGTGCGTGGGCGCGTGTCGCGATTCGCAGGGCCTCAATGGTGAAATCCACGTGGCCAGGGGTGTCAATCAAGTTCATGTGGAAGTCCTTGTGCCAGTTCAACCACTCGTGCTGGTGGTTGCAGAAATCCGGTGCTGCTCAAACACTCAAAAACGTCGGTGGAGCCAATAACATGGCCATTGGTTTCACGTCCTGATCGTCCGCTCTCCAAGAGCAGTAGGTCGCTGCTGAGGTGATCGTGATGCCTCACCAAGCGACCGCATGTCCGTCTGTCGACCGTCCACATGGAAACAACGTATGGCCGAGCATCTCTTCCAATAACTATGGTCGAATGTCTTCAGGTGACGTGTCTGTTACCTTTCCTTGCGCGCACGGCTCTTTTTCACCTCGCATCTAGGCGAAAGCCAAAAGACCCAATTCCTCCTCTTCAATGTCCTGCCCAAGTGCTGCTCTGAATAAAAAGTGCTGATCTCTGTGCATTGCTCAGAATAGAAATTCCTGAAATGGCTTCGCCCACGTGGGTATTTCATTCTTTTGGTTCTTTTCAGCCAGCATTGTTGTTATACTTTCTAACAAAAGTCAGGTGTTCAACTCAAGTACTGGTTTAAAAGCATGATGTTGCTTGGCTTCCTGAAAGTAGTACTTAACAGCAGAACTCGAGTGGCATCCTTCCACAGTTCCACAGCACGTCCCACAGTGCCCTGCAGTCCATGGCGGTGTCCAAAAAGGGCTGCCGCCTCTGGAAGAGCAAGCCTCACTAGTAGGTTGGAGGGAGGATCAGTTGCTTTCTTCCTTCATGTGCACATAACTGATTACAGAGGTAATTTCGTTGAAGGCTGAAAGTCAATTCAACTTGAAAGGTCATCAACCACCAGGTATGGTGCCCCTGCTCCACTTGCGGTTTTTGGGCCCATCCTCGCATGAAGACGAAGGTGAAGACTACAATGAAGGCCCAGTTTGCCAAGAAGTAGGCAATGGAAAAGATCTCGGCAGGCATACTATCAGTCTCAACACTCAGGTTTGCCTTGCGGCTCAAATCAGCATTTAACTGTGGCGCTGTGTTGAGGGCCACCTTCCTCCTACCATTAGTGGCTCATCTCTCAGAAGTAGAACTCCAGTACTCCCCAAGCTCAAACAAACGCAAAAACATCAGCAAGGCGTTGTCTGTTGCCCTGTTTGACTATGATTATGATCAAACTGATTAAACCAACGAATCCTTGATTGAAATATGCACCCGCAAAGCACGGCATTAACATCTCTGTGGCTCCCAACGGGCATCGAAAGCGCCTCAGTCAGAAATGTTTGAGCCGATGTGTGGTCTCTGTCATGAGAATGAATGTTTCAGGGTTGCAAAGTCATTGGCCCCCGAGGTTGACATGACAACGTCTTTTCAATCAGTTCCAGGACAGATCAATCTACCACTTGGCTTCGATTCCAAGCCTGGGGGCAGCAGAAACTTATAAAAGTGCGAAACTGAAGGTGTGCACATGACGAGCACTAAGGCTTTGGCAATTTGGGTGAAGAATGTCGCGATGACAGACACCTGATCTGTATAGGTCCAACTTGTGGGCAAAACCCATACCCAAACATGCATCGACAAAATAAGAACGTTGTGGAGATGATGGTCCACTTTTTGCTCAGAACACACCTCTAAATCGAAGTTCCTGTCATGTTCTCCTCCGCTCTCGTGCGTGTCCTCTCGGAAGTCCCTTGGATTTCCCTCAGCTTCCATGTCATCCTGTTCTTGTAGTCCAAAAGGACTACTGAAGATCTACTAAATACGAAAAGGAAAGAAGTTCGTCTTTTAGCATGGCAATGGTAGGAGTTGGCTTTGCAGCTGCGCCTGGCAATGGCTCTGGTCTTCACTGGACCTCAATGTGCACCTTGCTGTCGCATCTAATCCACCTTATCCAGTTGGCTGACAGGCATGCTGTTGCACGCAGGACCAAAGTTGCATGGGACTGATGAGGAATTGTATTGAATTGTGTACACTGCACAATACATACATTAAAAAAAGGAAAACATATATATATATATATTTATGCTCAAGTGAAAGCCTTTTGGCTGCACAACCAGCAATGGCAAAGGTTGTGGTGCAGTGACAATGAATTCACGTTCGAAATTAGGAATCAACCAATCAAATCATATCTACACCACAGCACACTCGTAAGTGGAGTGAGTTAGTTCTCAAGTCTCAGAACGAAGTAGAAGAACACCACAACCACCCCACCAGACGAGGGTCATAAAAGAAGAAACCACAACCAACTCCGCCCAGACGCTCGTCATTTGCGTAGCGAAGTAACAAAGTGCAAGAAGAAGTGTCGGTAGCGGGTTAACAAGGTAGAAGCGAGAGGAGAGAACCGCATAGTAATCAATGTTGCTCGGGCATCGTCCAAGTATTGACGGGCGGTACGCTGATCTTTCCAACGTCCTTGGATCATAACAAAATCTAGGGCTTTATGAACACCATAGAAGTGCGTGGCCCCTCCACGCCGCAGACTGTAGGGAACGAGATGAAAGGAAGTCAAATCGAAGAAATCGGCCAGCCCCGTAAAGCAAGAACGGAAATATGTGAGTGAATAGGGCCAAACTCGGCCACCGCCGGGAAGATGTTGTAGAAAGAAGGAAATGAGAACAACGAATAGTGGATCAGAATGAGCAACAAATTGTTGAAACTGCTTTGAAGATTTGGTAAAACCCAAACGCAGAACCACGGAGCCAGACGAATGATCCAGGGTAATATCGGAAAAGAGCAGGGTCATGGTTTCTCCAATCCGCAAGAAGAAAACGAAGCTGAGGAGAATGGTCAGTCCCAAGTGGTACCAACGCTCACGAATACAAAGTCCAATAAACCCTTGAACGGTGTTCCAGGTGATCGGAGTGGCACGCTGCGGGGTGTGCTCACGGGTCCAGTTTGTGTACCATTGCTGTGAAGTTTGAAGTTCTTTACGGCAACGGGGGTACAGGCGCTTAAGGCCACTCAGAACCCAGCCGGCTCTTGAAATAGATTCCCCTTCCTGGTAAAGGAGGTTGATGTATTCGGCCAAATGGGAGTCAAGGTCATAGAAAGTTCTAGGCAAGTCAATTCCACATGCATCAAGGTGGTCAAGGAACAGTGAGACTTCCCTCTGGTAGATACGGATCGTTCGCCCTGCAATGCCCAAATCACGCAAATGTTTTTGACCTTTTGGCATGGTCAGTGCTCGAAGCGCCGACTGGGTCCGTCGGCGAAGTTCCATTTGGAAATCGTCCACAAGTGCACGGGCATTGCCTGAGACATCAGGATGAGTCCAAGGGAATGAAAGTCGTGTCTTCCACTGCCATTTGAAGGCAGGGTATGGAACCAGCAAGGTCTGGGAACCGTCTTCGGGTGTGGCTTCAAACCGGACCTCAGTCCCCCGAATGCACACTTCACGGAGTAGGCCACGGAGGTGGCGTCTTTCATGCCCTGGCCGCATTGTGCGCAGGACACGCATAACTTCTTCTGCGGCTGCATCTGCGACGTCTAGTCTTTGCAGCCCTTTTGTCGATCGCCTGAGAGCGGCCAAAATGGCCTCCTTCGGGTCCCAGGCCAGGTGGCCATGTGGGACACTCGTACGCTTCTGGAAAGCCTTTTTCAGCCCTGCAGCATAGGCTTGGCGTAGCCCCCATGTGTACTCGGCCTCAATGGCGGTGTCAAACCGGAGTATCCCTTCTTCATCGTGCACCTCGTATGGAAGTAGGCCCTCGTGTCCAGGACAGGTGGGCCGATGTAGGGCCGTGTGCAACTCCTCTATATTATGCAACAAGCTCGTCCACTTTGTCCTTGCACCGCCGTAGCAGCAGGCTGAGAAGTAGGTGTGGAACACGTCATCTCTTGCTGCCAACTCACTGGCCTCGGGAGTGGACCAGAGATGAGAGCTGTATGGGTGCTCGAGGACGGCGAGTCGATCATTGTCAAAAGCCGTCTTCAACCCTCGCAGTGATCGCTTGGCCATGGTGTTGCCACGCCTGACTTGCACCTGTTCTGCCGGGCTCAGGTGGTCTAAACCCCATGGCTTCAATTCACTCCTCAAAGCCCGTGGTCCTGACAGCCAACGCCCACTCGTTGTGCGGATGGGCCGACCACGTGCTGCGGAAAAGGTCTTGCATTCTGGTCCATAGTGTTCACAAAGGAGCCCCGGCGCGCTCTCGTAGGCGTCTAGCCTTTGCTTGCCTTCGACTGTCGAATAATCCCATCGGTCATCATCTATCAGCAAGTCCAATGGTGGCTGGACTCCAATCCCGGCCAAGGCCACTGCCTTTGTCAGTGGAAAGTTTGGTCCACTGAACCTCTCCCCGAAAAGGGGGCAGGCGAACATGTCGCGGGCGCACCCGTGCTCACGATGCTCTATGGCACACCTTACCGAGCAAGACACACTTCCACAGCCAACTGCACAAGGATATTGCTTTCTTCCCTCCGAACGCGTCGGGGTTGTTGTGCTGAAATCATGACCGCAGTTATGGCATTTCCCTTCGAAGATCGCCATTGGGCCATGAGGGTCCGGTCCTGGTTTGAAGGCTGTCGCCGTTGCGCTACCGCCACCTGTAGGTGATGCATCGGTGCAGCTGATCTCAGGTGAGATTTTGGCCTTGAGATTCACTTGAGCGAGGGGCGATTGGATCATCAAGCACATGATTTCGTCAATCACCTCTGCAGTTGGTCCAATGGGGCCCTTCCTCGCTCTCTCAATTGCATCAAATATATTGGCCATCCCTGAAAACAGCGACCGCTTGAATGTTGCCATGAACGCGGTCTTGCCGGTCCAGTGCCTGAGGTAGAACTCTGACCAACGATGTCGGGACAGCTCCCTGCAAGCCACCAGCGAAGGCGTGGATCAGTTGCTTGCCCAGGTTACGAGGCAAGCCCGCTTCATCGCACGCTTCAATGAACTGTGCATGGTGTGGTGAGATCTCCACCCCTTCTTTTTGTAGCTCCAGGTCCAAGGTCTTGACCACGTGAATCTCATCAAAATTGTCCAGATACACGATGGTATAGATTTGTTCCTCCGGCAGACGCTTGTGCTTTTCGATGGAGTATTGGCGCGGGATCTTGGCCCGTTCAAATACCAAGGTTCTCACGGCCTCCTGAACCAATGCCACCGCTGAATGCCACCCCATTGGGACCACGCTCAAGGCAGGTCGAACCTGAGTCCCCGGCGGCATTCCAAAGGCGGCTGAATCCACTTTCTTGCTGTAGGAAAGGTAAGGGAGCCAACTGTCTGGCATCGAGAACAGGTTGACGGCAGACTGCAAGTCCTCACTGTCAAGGTAGAGGCCTTCATCTTCTTCGAGGAGGATACCAGTCAGTTGCCCAATATACGGCAAGGTGTCCTGCGACCCTGCGATGGCTCCCATGACCGCGTTGATGGGGCAGAGTATCGAAATGAAGCGCTGACACTTGTGGACCTTGCCGTCAATCACCTTCTCCTTGACAACCCCACCTGCGCCATTTGTAATGAAATGCCCTTGCCTCGCGGGACCAATGCATCATCCACCGGCTTCATCATGCCTCTTGGATGCGCCGCACGCACGATGTTGAACCATTCCGCATCACTCGCCCGCGCGCGGGAACGGATCCCCTGCTCCGGCATTTTGTCCGGTGGCAGCAACAATTTCGCTGGCTCAGCTAGAGCCGCTTTGGTTTCCTCCTTGAGGAATGCCTCGATGGGCCGAATCCCAGCCTGCCCTGGCCTTGGCCAAGCTGGTAAGACCTTTTCACAGACAAGGTCTTCCATATACTCAATTGGATTTCCCGAGTAATCATATCTCTTTGGGGACAAGAGCCTTTCGCTCTCCCGCAGAGTCTTCAGCGGTGTCCCCGAGACAATGTTGCTCGTCACCACTTCAGCCAACTGGCTTATTGCTGCTATCTGCAAAGGCGAAACCCCGTCCTTGAACGGAACACAAACTGGCTTGCTCCATCCCACACAATAGTGGAAGTTGATGACACATAGGATTGCCTTGATCCAGACTTAATTTCCCTCCGTTACTCCCGGAATGTCCGTTGTGACACTCCACGGAGGTATAGGCAGAAGGTTGCTCGAGGTTCCCCGCTTTGGTGAGAGGACGATGGGGGGTTGTGCAGCCGTGCAATATGATCGGACAAAATTTCCAAGCGGGGTAGGACTCATCAACATGAGAGCATACAAGTGTTTTCCAAGGTCCTCGAATGTGGGTGACTGCTTGTAGAGTTCCCTGACCATAAGGCTCCATTCTCGAATGGATTCACATTCATCATCAACGTTAACCTGATGGAGGTTGGCCGGGCAACCTGAAGCATCATCCATCAAATCTTCAGCCATACTCTCTGACTCCTCCTCTACCGTCGGCTCGACTATACGCTCACCCTTTGTTTTTCGGTTCAGAGGTGGTCGCTCATCGACTTCCGTTGGAGGCCCATAGGGCAAGAACTGCTCATCTCCTTCTCCTTCGGTGTTGGCCGATGAGGTCATCACACCGTGGGCGTGTCTCCCACGGCCTCCGGGCTTACTTTGCCCTTCTTTCCTTTTTCTTTTCCTTTTCCTTTCCCCTTCTCGAACTGGTCTCCCTTCCCCTTGGGGAGTGGCCGCCACTGCTGGCCGGCTATCAGGAGCCGCATCTTTTGATCTGTTGCTTGCTCCTTCGTGGCCATCAGCGTCTCATCCTTCCCGACCAGGTTCACCCCCTCGGGTGGGATCAGTTCGAGGTGCTGCGCTCGGCTCCAGGCCTGATCGGCTAGGTATAGCTCCAGCGATTTGATCCTCTGACCTAGGAGGTCGCCTGCTGACTCTGCGTTTCCCGATGCCACCAGGTCCAGTGCCTTGCATAGGGTCCTCAACTCCCTGTTCGTCCGCAAGTTCATCCTTTCCTTGTACTGCGGCACGAGCACTGTCAGAAAGTAAGATGTGGCTGTTGCTGGTGTCAAATTTCGCTCGGTCTTCAAGTGCATGGGCCCCTCCTGCCGAGCCAAGATTTCTTGCATCTTTTGAAGCAGCCTCGATGCCAGGCGACCCGGGTGTTGTTCCGAGTACTCCTGAAGCTGAAGCTGACGAGATTTGGTGGAGGGGCCCGCTTGAAAATCCGACCCAGAATCTTCATCGTCATCATCAGACGACTTCGAACCGGACTTTTCTTCTGGGAAACTCACCCGATGCCCAATTCCAAAGGGGCCTCGGTCTGCCTGCTCCGCCTTCCTTGCTGAGGTCAGGCCTTTCTTGGGACGCTTACCCTTCTTGCGCTTCGATGTCTTTGGAGCGTCATCAACTCCTCGATCTCCCGTCTTGTCCTTGCGTCTCTTCCCCTCAGGGATAATGCCACTACTGCTGGAGCCGTCATCTTCAGAAGCTGGCTCCTTCGCACGCCCGAACCACATCGGGGTGGGATCCACTCCTTTCTTACGCTTCCGACTCTTGGCCCGAGGTTCTTTGTCAATCACCTCAATATCCTTCTCGGACTTTTTCTTTTTCTCGGACTTTTTCTTTCTCTTGGTCCCCACTGTTTTTCTCAATGCAGCCAGTCTGCCAGGGATATGCTCGCCCGCAGGCGCCTCAACTGCTTCTGCTCCAATATCAGCTTCCCAGTCCAAATGGCCTGGCTTCCCGGCCGCAGCCGCACTTCCATGTGCTGGATCATAGGGGGGAGCCGTTCCTGCCAAAAGGGCAATCTCCCCATCAATGTCAACTTTAACGTCGTCCCCGGCGAACCAGCTCACCTTACGAGCAATGATGTCTCCGGATGGGACATCCCGGAAAGTATCCGAATGAAATTCTTGTTCCCTGTGTCGTTTTGTTTTGCGACACTCGCCCGCAGGCGTTGAACACAAGTGGACCACAAAGCTGCGCCGGTAGTCCTTGCCCGGCCCCTTGTTGAGCCACCACTGCAATTGAACGTCCGTTGCAGCTACCAATCTTGCTTGGATCCAAAGTCCTTCTTTCTTCTTCTCGATGACGTGGTCCACTTGCCATAAGGCTGTACCTTGTCGTTCTCCATCACCATCGAATTGTTCCAACTCAACATAACCGCCCTCAGCAACTGTCAGCTCTTTAAAGTAGTCCAAGTTGCGGGGCAGATGTATCCAAGGTCCGGGCATTATGCCCACTCGCCCTCGGGCGGTCCCGCCGCCCGGAGGCGCCCTTGAAAGCTTGAGAACAAAAAGGCAAATGAGCATAAAAACTCGTGACATCACTGCGTTTCGTTCACTCGTGGCAATATATTAAGAGAGAGAGAGAGTGATGTCACTTCTTCCTTCCCAGCTTCCAATCGATTCCGACTGTCGACCGAGCGTTTGAATACTTGGCTGTCGTGAGCCCAGAAGCACTAAAAAGGACCTGGCAAGAGTAATGTCAGGGCGCTCTTGCTAGTAGGTTGGAGGCCATCGCTAGCAGGTTGGATATTCTCTGAGAAATCCGCTCTTTGGCCTTTGAGATCCAAAGGCTGTGTAGTCGGGCGCGATGGTCAAGAGCGCCACACCTTACCAAGAGAATGATTTGTTCAAGGATCTTGCCCAGCAAAAATTCTCCCACCACTGGATCCTCGGGGGCGACTGAGCTGTTCATGCTCACAAAAAAGAAATTGTAACTTTATTGTTACTAGTAGTAAGGTCAGGAGCCCCTAGTAGCTTCTTGTTCCTAGTAGCGATGCCAGGAGCCCCTAGTAGCGTCCTTGCTCCTAGTCGCGTCCTTGTTATAACACTTGCATTAGTATTTTTTCAGTATTTCAAAGTTGTAGATTATATGAACGTCCCACAGGCAAGCCGCTGCAAGCCTGTTTGGGGGATGGCCTACTGAGCCCTTGGACTGGTTTTCCTCCCACATGCTATTCCTGAACCTTGAAGTTGGGGGATCAAGACCAAAACGGATCCTTGGGCGGGTGTCCCGTTCCTTGGACCCCTGGTCTTTTCCCAATTAGCAAAGCCTGAAAAGAGGACATTCCAGTAGACTTTGTCAATTTCAGTAAATCCGCAGAGCTGGTTCTGGGGCAGGCGCAGAGAGCCAGTAGAATGTAGGCCATGGTATTGCACATCACCAGCCTCAGCAATGCGGACAACGCCTGTTTTCACATGCAAATTCTCCATTCAACTCCACATCGACATGTTGACATAGCCTGGACTTCAAATGGATTCTGAAAATACGATGTCAACTCCGTTCAACGCGCCAAGTGACAAAGCCTGAGGCGCCGATTTGCGGGCACGCAATGTGTAGACGCTGATACAAAGCAGTCGGATGTCCAAAGCAATGATGCCTTAGCTGAAAGGAGGTATAACCTCCACAAGTCTCAGACCACGACCAACCCATGGCGACCAGACCGAGACTACATGTCCTACATGAATCATGTGCTGATCAGGGTGGTCCAAACCCTTTTGTTTGTCAATAGAAGAGCTGCCAAATAGGGTTGCAGCAAAGATGTACAAGACCTCAGTGCAGTGTTCTTGCCAGCAAGAGCTGCTCAAAATTCTGTCCAATCTCATCTAGTCGAGTGCACTCACCACAAACGCCCACGTGCATTCAGCTGCCATGTTGATATCAAAATTCCAGAACAGAAGCTGGGCTTCTGGCAATGAGGCTGAGAAAAACAAAATCCACAGGAAACACTCTGGAGAGCCGCAAATAGACCTATGATCCGATCCGGCACCAAACACTGCGGTGGAAATGACTGTAGAGCTCTGTGGTTCACCTATGCTCAACGCATTGCTTTGCAATTCATCTTCTGAACTACTTCAGGTTCATTGTCTTGCAACAAACCGTGGCCTCATCTGCAGGGTTATAAATGCGACGCTCCTGGCAGGTGGTTCAATGCAAGGATTCGAGACCCACAATGAACTTGTGCTTCAAGGACGCTCTTCCGAAGGTTTACAGTGTTTACTCCTCCCAGTCTATCGGTAGGTCATGTCCAGACTTGTACGACGCTACCCTAAGCATACCCTACTAGCCCTACTCTGACCAGAGTGCTTGCCATTCTCTGACCCACTTACATGTCTTGTGGAAACCCTCCCCGCTCCTGAAGTGTGTAGCCACAGCTCCAGCCACAGGGAGAATGCAGCCATCGATCCACAAGGGTCAAGAGCAATGAAAACACCACTAAGAGGCTGAGGGACATCATTACCACACCTGGATCACACAGCACAAGACACACAAGACACGCAAGACACACAAGACATGACCAACATATCTATATTGGGGTTCAATCAGCTGTTCGAACTTAGACAATCAACCACGCAAAGCCAAACAAGCAGGCCTATAAGCAGCCGGAATGGGATCAGGCATCGCCTCAGCACATCGACCCCGCGACATCGTGACTTGAGATTGTTTTTTGTTGCCTACACCTTAATTAAGCAAGGGATAAGTTCGCTACTAGCAATTGGAAGCTCCTAGGTAGGACGCAGGATAGCTCACGCTTCTTCGAGGAAGCTCCTCCCGCCTGAGGGCGGGGCGGAGCTTCCCTGAAGAAGCGCTCCCACTAAAGATTTGGTTCCTAGATCTTGAATTGTGAATTGAATCCAATTCCTGCGAATCCACTTGTCGGCGCTTGGTCGACTGAGCCGAAGCGGCAGGAGCTGTGGGATGCAAGCACCAGCGCGTTGTTCAACCTCTTGCAGCCTCCAGTGACTCAGCTTCTTGATGTTCTGTCAACAAATTGCAGAAGAACCCATTGCACAGGACCACATGCCAACCAAAGCCTTTCGGTGTCAGAGGAGAATGTACAGTTTGAAGATGTTTGAAAATGCCCAAAATGCCCCCCGCGCAATAAATAGAAAATAGAAGGGTTTCAAGGTTACGAGGTACACCTGTCGCTATGACAGAAATGCTGCACGGCACAAGAAGGCCTTCACCAAAAAGACGTCCCTTTAAAATGTCCAGTGGCCATCAGTGGCCATCAGTGGCCTGTAGTTGTGCTGCATGAGATTCTTGTGCTCCCGTTGCAAACGGCTCAGCTCCCTCCGATCTGCCGCCTTCATCCTAGCAAACAAACACTCAGACACTCAGCCACAAAGACATTTGGTCGCTCAGCCACAAAGATTGACCAAAAGCGGTTCCTGGAGAGGTCCAGGGAACCATCTTCTCGAGCAGAGTAGCGAGACCTCAAGCGGAGGTTTGAAACGCTGGCCCTGCCCAAGAGTCTAAATATATGACCTTGGGTGCCCCATTAGCTGTAATCAAAGCAAGGGAAACAACATGAAACAACATGAAACAACTATACATGGGTCAAAACCGGGAGGTTTTGGGGGCGACCACCAAATGAACAGAACAGACTGCAAGGTACATGATTTTGACCCGCACCGGCATGGCATTAAGGCTCCAGCTGGATGGACCGGTATCGGTCCTTAGTGATCCCATTGGTGCGACTGGCACGCTGGCCATCGACAGGGGCCTAACCGTCTTAACATGGTCCTGCGGTCACAAACTCCTTCCATCGAAATAAAGGCGCTGTAGACCGTCCAAGTGTCGCGGATGCCGGCGATGGATGTCTCCACGTCTTGCCGCTGCTCTGAAGGCGTCTGCTTGCCCCTTGCACGCTCACTTTCTCGTGATGCGGGGGTCTCGGCTGCACGGCAAGAGTGAAAGCAACCCCGCCTGAGCCAGTCAAAAGGCATAGCAGCAAGGCCGTAGGCTGTATACATGGCCTCACAGTGCGAAGCCCTGTCCAAGAGAAAACATGAAAACTGAAACAGCAAGTAAGAAGCAAGTTAAGACCGTTTTTTTTGCAGCAAATTTGAGCACTTCCGACACCTGTTCCATGTGGTTAAGGGCATCCCTCCTTCAATGGAATTCTTTACTTGGTCGTCATTGTTTCTAATCTGTATGACATATTGTAAGATGGGACAAACAGTGCTATCCCTGCACAGCCACGCGATTTGAGCACGGTTTGTTTGGCTGCGCTTCAAAGTGAGCCCTGCCCTCTGGATGTTCATGCACTTTTATCCCAGTGGCTGCCAACAAAACCTCATGTATGCCTTTCGACAATGTCTTCTTCAGTGGGTCAGAGCCAAAATAGATATCTTGCTGCTGAATCACCCACCCAAGGACGCCAGCAAGGGTCAGGCAGGCAATGGCAAAGGAGATGGCATTCAGACCTGCAAAATGCATCCACATGTTCAATGTCATTCTGATCCATCTGGATGCATTGGTTCATTCGGAGCCTCGGTGCTGCACATCCAGCAAATCATTGAGCCACCTGTCAGCAAGAACAACCATTTGCCGTCTTGAACACAAGAACTCCAGGAGTGGGATAGGACACATTTGCCGTTGCCTGTACACCTTTGCTGAAAGGACCGGACCCTTGTCGTGTGCAGGTCAAAGTACCGGCTCACACTCTTTCAATTTTTTTGTCCAACATGAAAACATCTCGCACGTGGCAGGTGTGGCTCAAATTTGGAGAAGTTTGGAGAAGTAGCCAAATCTCATTCCCTAGCCTATGCACTTCGGCAAAAGTGGGATGCAGTGGGATGGCCGAGTCCAATGTGCCATCTCTTCATTGCGAATCCACATGGGATCAATAAATAATATGCCTAAATCACTCTTTTTGCTGTGAGACCCAATTGCCTTACCGCGCTTTCCTCACTTTGTAGGGCACGATCCAGGCTTTCTTTGTGACCCGGTCTGAAGTTTAAGCTGATGATGAGCAGCACCACGACCTCACTTCGGTCCAAAGCTCTTGAAAACGACGATGGCCTCATGTCTTCGTGACCCGCTCCTATTTTTTTTCCAGCAGGCGCCTACCTAATTAATAAAGGGACAAACTTGCACGCTCCTAGCTACTGGACGCTACTACATATAGACGCAGGGTAGTTCACGCTTCTTCAAGAAAGGTCCCCCCGCCTGAGGTCGGGGAGAGCTTCCTTGAAGATGCGCTCGCAGTAATGATTTGGGGCATGTGTTTTTCCGCCCTGTTTGGGTTTTATTTCCACCTTGTCACGCGTGGGTGTTTTTTAAGCCCTGTGCAGGGTTCTTTTTCCACCCTGTGCAGGATTCCTTTTCCACCCTGTGCAGGGTTCCTTTTCCACACTGTGCAGGCACCCTGTGCAGGGTTCTCCCTGTGCAGGGTTCTTTTTGTGCCCTGTGCAGGGTCTTTTTCCCTGTGCAGGGTTCCTTTTCCACCCTGTGCAGGGCTCTATTTCTGCCCTGCCTGTACAGGGTCTTTTTCCCTGTCCAGGAGTCCTTTTCCACCCTGTGCAGGATTCCCTGTGCAGGGTTCGGTTTCCACCCTGTGCAGGGTTCCTTTTCCACCCTGCACAGGCTTCATTTCCACCCTCGGGGCCCGCGATGGGACACCACTCGGCCAGAAGCCATCCCGCACGGTTCTTGTTCCACACTGTGCAGGATTGAAGGGAACCACTGCACAGCTGGCAGAGGACACCTGCAGGGTAGACAAGAAACCCCCGCAAGGTGAAATAGAAACTCCCACACGTTGACGCAGAAGCGTGGCGAGGGTGGAAAGGTCGAAAAGAAACCCCCCTAGGATCGAGAGGTGATTCCGGTAGTGCGACGCGGACCTTCGTCAGGGTGGAGAGGAGACAAACCCCTGCAGGGCAGAAAACAAACCCCGCAGGGCAGGAAAGAACCACCTGCAGGGCAGGAACGAAACCCCTGCAGGGCAGGAAAGAAGCCCCTGCAAGGCAGAAAACAAACCCCGCAGGGCAGGAAAGAACCCCTGCAGGGCAGAAAACAAACCCTTCCAGGGTAACAGGCAAACCCCTGCAGGGCGGGAAAGAAACCTCCGCAGGGCAGGAAAGAAACCCTGGAGGGCCCCTGTAGGGCAGGAGAAAACCCTGCAGGGCAGGAAAGAATCCCCTGCAGGGCAAAACAAACCCCGCAGGGCAGGGCAGGGCAGAAAAGAAACCCCAGCATTGCAAAAAAAAAATTGCAAAGCAGAAAAGAAAACCCCTTGAGGGTGGAAAGGAAACACACAGGGCAGAAAGGAAACCCTCGTAGGGTCAAGAAGTGACTCCAGCAGTTCGACGTGGACCTTCCTCAGGATGGAAAGGAACCCCCTGCAGTGCAGAAAAGAAACCCTTGCAGGGCAGGAAAGAAACCCTGCCGATCCAAGGAGGGAAGGAAACAAACCAACCCCTGCTGGGCAGAAGAGAAACCCTCGTAGGGTCAAAGCCTCCAGGGCGGAAACAACCAGGGCTGCACAGGGCGG